AAATTTGCATATTTATAAAGTAAATAAATTTAATTTATTAATTTGTTAAAAAATAATATACTAATTTAATAGATTAATCTAATTATTAATTTACTAAAATATAGTTTACTAATTTAATTTATTTTTCTTTTTCAATGAGACAATTCTTTGAAAAGAAAATAACTTGCACAGTTGTTTGGAAATTCGGCCGAAACCCGAGCAAGCCCGCCAGCCAAGCACGACCAGCTCGTAGAAGATAGCTCGAAAGTAATCGTTAACATAGTTAACAACAGGTCTCCTTTACCCAAAAGAATTTTTGATCTTTTCTTTTTTCCTATTACATTATTTACTGTATTCCTTTTAAAAATTTATCCTTTCATAATGTTTTCAAATTTCAACTAATATGGATATTCTACAATTCCTCTCGTTTAGATCCTTGTTGTTTATTATATTTATTGGTAGTGCTTATGATGGTTTAAGCCAAAATCTAAATAAATAAGTGTTTTCATCTTCATGGCACTAAGATTCGATTCAATGTAGCTAGCATCTAGAACTGTCAAAATCGATTTTCGACTCGAGTTTGAGTCCAACTCAAAATTAACTCGATTTCATTTCACCTGATCGAAACCCGATCCGATTAGATAAATAGGTTATAAGCCTAGACCCGAACCCGATCCAATGCTATCTCAAACTGACACGACCCTGTCGTCCCAACTCGCTGACCACATTGAGTGCCATGGGCAAGCAAGCGCAAGAGGCCAAGCAGGTGAGAGGTGAGCAGGTGAGAGGGTGAGCGTGCGGTACTATTATTCTCTGCGGATACCGAACGGGAGAACCGTCCGGTTAAGCACTGGGTATCCATGATTGCTGCTCTTGCACAAGATAAGATTTTTAAGGATGGTGAGCTTCTCTCTCTTTAATCTCCCTCTCTCTTTCCAATCTCCGCCGTCTCTGTATCTGGAACAAATGGAAATGAGAGGCTTGATTAACAGCATATCATACGTAAAATATGGTGTAATTGCAGGTGGGCCATGATTATTTATAGCTCATTCAATATCAACCACTTCATCTTCAACCTCTATATATGTCGCCACACACCAAAGCCATATCTTCTCAAACCAAAAACAAAATTCTTACTGAAGCCATTGTTTACAAGTGATCAATGGCTTCCTCCCTTCGTCACAGTGCCAATATTGCTCTGTTTCTTCTCTTTTCACTTGCTTCTGCTGCTCAGCTCGACCCGAATTTCTATTCATGTTCTTGTCCAAATCTCTTCTCCACTATCAAACCAGTGGTTCAGTCTGCAATTTCAAAAGAAAAACGCATGGGTGCCTCACTTCTTCGCCTCTTCTTCCATGATTGCTTTGTCAACGTACCTATTTCTTCTCATCCGAGTATAAAAATCTTTATGTTTAAAACTTGAAAATAAATTTGTTCATTAGTGTACCAAAACTAACCATAATCTCTCTTAATGAACTGCTAATCCTTTCTGTATTTGAAAGATTAGCCTCAAGTTTATAACTTTATAATTACAGGGTTGTGATGGATCTTTGCTGCTTGATGACACGCCAAACTTTACAGGAGAGAAGAATGCAGTTCCGAACAATCAATCTGTGAGGGGGTTTGATGTAATAGACAAGATAAAAGCTGCGGTGGAGAAAGCTTGTCCTGGTGTGGTTTCTTGTGCTGATATCTTGGCCATCACTGCAAGGGACTCTGTGGTCATTGTAAGTTTCAATTTTGTTATAGTTCAATTAATAATGAAGGTTTCATAAGCTTTGATTATTGATAATGGAATATGAATTCTTGATTAAACAAGCTTGGTGGACCAAATTGGAATGTGAAATTAGGCAGAAGGGATGCAAGGACTGCAAGCCTCAGTGCAGCTAATACTAACATTCCACCACCAACTTCCAACCTTAGTAAGCTCATTTCCTCATTTTCAGCTCAGGGTCTCTCAGCCAAGCACATGGTTGCCCTTTCAGGTCTCTCTCTCTCTCTCTCTCTCTCTCTCTCTCTCTCTCTCTCTCTCTCTCTCTCTCTCAAAGTATTGAATTTGGCATTGATGAAAAATGTAAATTAATACCTGTAATTATTGTATGGATTTCTAAGGCTTCGTTTGGGATTGCTTTTTTACTGCTTCTTAAAACAGTTTTCTAGTACAAAATTTTTAATTTTTGTACTAAAAAGCAACTTTACGAAGTAATAAGAAAGCCATCCCAAACGAAGCTTAAATCTTGATTGTGAAATTCAATCTATTTCCAAATGCTTTCTCATACAAAGCTCTTACTTTAAATAAGCTTTGTTTAAAAGAGCATTAAGTTCAGTTAGATTTGGTGTTCAATTCCAATCAGTTCTGTAAAAGATTAACTCATACCATTATTATTGATGAAATAGGTGCCCACACCATAGGACAAGCCAGGTGCACCATTTTCAGGGCGAGGATCTACAACGACAGCAACATCGATAGCTCATTCGATCAATTGAGGAAGAGCAACTGCCCGCAGAGCTCCGGCGACGCTAACCTCGCACCTTTAGACCTGCAAACTCCGACGAGCTTTGATAACAACTATTATAAGAATCTTCTCAGTTTGAAGGGTCTTCTTCACTCTGACCAGCAGCTCTTCAATAAAGGCTCAACTGACTCCCAGGTGAGGAAATATGCCAATAAACCCAACAAGTTCAACTCGGATTTCGTTGCTGCAATTATAAAGATGGGCGACATAAGCCCTCTTACTGGATCAAAGGGTGAGATCAGAAAGAATTGCAGGAAGATCAACTAACTGAAATAAGTTTTGGATCAAGGCTTTCTAAAAGCTGGTCAATATGGCATGATAAAGTAAAGATTTTTTCAATCAATAACATCTCCCAAGTTGTCAGGTCTTTCAGTATAGGCCTTACTTGGGGTCATTTTTAATTTATACTAGTATGAATGTTGGTGTATGAAGGTTGTTTATATTAGTTTTTTGTTTGTGGTGAAATTTTGAATTTGCATGAGCTTGTTCAAGGTTTTGTGATTGAATTTCTGAAATTGATTGGGGGATTCTGAATTTTTTGTTTAACATTTTGTAATGCTTTATCATTATGATGAAATAATATGGTATCATTATGTTAAAAAAGATTGTCATGATAAAATTATTTTAGAGCAAAATGAACAGGACAATCACATCATATCAATATTCTTTATAAGGGACTTTGGTTGTAAGTCAAGCGGATTCATGAGTCGAATCAAACACGGCTTGATACATGGCTCATGAGCCGAGCACAATGAGCTAATGAATCAAGCTTGAGGTAGTCTTGGCTCGACTTGACTCATTGGCTCATGAGCCGGTTCGTTTAAAAAATATTTATATAAAATGCTTTTAAAATATATTTGAATTTAGGAGTTCAAGTAAAAAGCTATTAAAAATTTTTAAAAATTATATCTTACTTTATTATATCAAATAATTATTTATTATTTGTTTTCTAATTTCTTATATCGTTAACAAATTTAACAACCGGTCTCCTTTACCAAAATAAATTTTAATTTTTTTTTTCGCCTATTAAATTATTTACTGTATTCCTTTTAAAAATTTATCCTTTCATAATGTTTTCAACTAATATGGATATTATGCCATTCCTCTAAGTCGATCCCAGATGCTTACTATACTTACTGTTAGTGCTTCTGAATGTTTAAGCCAAATCTAAAGAAAGTGTTTTCGTCTTCGTGTCACTGCGATTCGATTCAATGTAGCTTGCATCTAGAGCTGTTAAAATGAGTTTTCGGGTCGAATTTGGGTCCATCTCAAAATTAACTTGATTTCAATTCACTTGATCGGAACCTGACCTAATTAGGTAAATAGGTTATAAGCCTACACCCGAACGCGATCCAATGCTATCGCCTATGCTTGGCTCTAAGCGCCGGTAATTGCCAACTTAAGCAGAGAATTGCTTTCCTTGCACAAGATAAGATATTTAAGGATGGTGAGCTTTCTCTCTCTTTAATCTCTCTCTCTCTCTCTCTCTCTCTCTCTCTCTCTCTCTCTCTCTTTTCAATCTCCGCCATTTCTGTATCTGGAACAAAAAGAAATGCGAGGCCTGGTTAACAGCATATCATATGTAAAATATGGTGTAATTGCAGGTGGGTCATGATTATTTATAGCTCATTCAATATCAACCACTTCTTTCTTCAACTTCTACATATGTCGCCACACAACAAGGGGATTGGAAATATAAACCAAAATTAATAACCAAATTTTGTGTGTATCTAGAAAATTATATGGAAAAAATATCTAGAATATGTAATAAATTTTGGTGGTTGGTAATTGAACTTTTATTATGGAAATCTCTAGAATGTTTTTCTAGAATTGTCTTTGTATAAGTATAAAAAGGCATTGAGTATTGTCATTTTGATGTAAGAGAGAAAATTTTATAATAGAAGTTTCTCTTATTTTTCTTGAATAATCATCAATAAAAGTTAAGAAATATCAATGCTTACCAAAAGATCCTAGAGCAATGGGTCCACATACATCCGTGTGGAATAATTGAAGAGGCTTTTTTGCTCTAAAATTTGCTTCATTTGGAAAACTCTTTCTAGGTTGTTTTCCAAATACGCTTCCTTCATAAATTTGATTTGGATGATTGATATTTGGTAACTCATGCACCATTCCTTTTCTTGACATATTATTTAGATCTCCAAAATTTAAATTCCCAAGCCTCATATGCCAAAGCCATGTTGAATCTTTCACACGTCTTTAAACATTTAATTACTCCATTTTTTATATTAAGAATAAACATCATATTTCTTGTCATCTCCACTTGGGCAATTAATTCATTTGAATAATTTTTAATAGTGAGTTTTTCATCCTTCATATGAATGTCAAATCCCTTCTCAAGTAATTGCCCCAAGCTTAAAATATTACTTTTCATATCTGGCACATAATAAACATCATAAATAAATTGATGACTTCAATCTTTAAGAAGAATAAGGATTTTACCTTTTCCTTTTATCAAAATTTTTGAAGAGTCACCAAAATAAATTTGACTCTCCATCGCCTCTATTTCTACGAACATATTTTTATCCCTGCACATATGATTACTTGTTCAAGTATCTAAATATCAATTATTTTCTTTTTCATCTTCTTATCCTTTCAATGCCAATAATAAATCTGGATCATCTTCCTTCTCTTTAACAATGTTGGCTTTCTCTTGATTATGATAACATTCGGAAGCATAATGATCAATTTTTTTGCAAATATAACAACGAATATGAGATTTTTTGTATCTTTAATATTTTGGCTCTTTCTTCCACTCTTCATCTTTTGAGTTTTAATTTTCTTCATTATTTCTTTGATATCTGCCACGTCCTCATCCACGTCCTCGGCCTCTTCCAAAGCCACGACCTCAATAACGGCCTTGTCCGTAAATGTCTTGATCATTTGAATTATCTTCATTTTTTGTGTCGTCTTTGTCACCTTTTAAGGAGAGTTTTGATTGGAAAACGTGTTCGATAGTATCCTATTTTTTTATTTTTTCTTTGCTCATAAGTCATTAAAGAGCCCATTAATTCATCAACAATTATTATCTCTAAATTTTTAGCTTCCCTCAATAGCTACGACAATATGCTCAAATTTATCATTTACTTAGCATAGAATTTTTTCTATCACTCGAATATCTTCTAATGCTTCTCCATACCTTCGTAGTTGATTGACGATAGTTAAGACTCTTGTGAAATAGTCCTCCACATTTTCTGCTTTCTTCATTTGAAGTGCCTCAAATTCAGCTCGGAGAGTTTGAAATCGAATCTTCTTTATCTTGTCTATGCTTTTATATGCAACTTCAAGTATCTCTCGTGCTTGTTTAGAGGTAGATGCACTGGCCACTTTCTCAAAGTTTGCCTCATCTAGTGCTTAAAAAATAAAGAAGAGTGCCTTCTTATCATTCTTTTTACTTTCTTTCAACAGCCCAATTCCCTTTGGGCTGTGATAATACTGCTTCATTTTGATGCTCGGCATAGACTTTCTCAACTATCTCCAAACTATCTTGTGATCCAAATAAAGCCTTCATTTGAAGACCCCAATTCTCGTAATTCTCCTAACAAGAGAGAGATAATTTGTAAGAGTGGAAGAGGATAAAAAAAAAACAAGAGGAACTTCTATTATAAAATTTTTCTCTCTTACATCAAAATGACAAGACTCAATGCCTTTACATACTAGTATAAAGATAATTCTAGAAACACATTCTAAAAATTTTCATAATAAAAGTTTGACTACCAACCACCAAAAGTTATTTCAATTTTTGTGTATCAAGAAAATTGTATGGAAGAAATATCCAGAATATGTAATAACTTTTGGTGATTGGTAGTTAAACTTTTATTATGGAAATCTCTATAATGTGTTTATAGAATTGTTTTTATACAAGTATAAAAAGACATTGAGTCTTGTCATTTTGATATAAGAGAGAAAATTTTATAATAGAAGTTCATCTTATTTTTATTTATCCTCTTCCACTCTTACAAATAATCTCTCTCTCTCTCTCTCTCTCTCTCTCTCTCTCTCTCTCTCTCTCTCTCTCTCATACCATTATTATTGATCAAATAGGTGCCCACATCATAGGATAAGCTAGGTGCACCATTTTCAGAGCTAGGATCTACAACGACAGCAACATCGATAGCTCGTTCGATCGGTTGAGGAAGAATGACTGTGTACAGAGCTCCGATGACGGTAACCTCGCCCCGTTATACCTGCAAACTTCGACGAGCTTTGATAACAACTATTATAAGAATCTTCTCAGTTTGAAGGATCTTTTTCACTCAGACCAGCAACTCTTCAATAAAGGCTCAACGGACTCTCAGGTGAGGAAATATGCCAATAAACCCAACAAGTTCAACTCGGATTTTGTTGCTGCAATCATAAAGATGGGCGACATAAGCCTTCTTACTGTATCTAAGGATGAGATCAGAAAGAATTTCAGGAAGATCAACTAACTGGAGTAAGCTTTGGATCAAGGCCTTCTAGCTGGTCAATGTTGCATGAGAAATTAAAGTTTTATTTCAATCAATAACATCTCAAGTTATCTGGTCTTTTAGTAAAGGCTTTACTTGGGGTCTTGTTTAATTTATGCTGGCATGAATAATGTTGGTGTATGAAGGTTGTTTATGTTAGTTTTTTGTTTGTGGTGAAATTTTGAATTTGTATGAGCTTGTTGAGGGTTTTGTGACTGAATTTCTGAAATTTATGGGGGTTCTAAATTTTTTGTTTGACATTTTGTAATGTTTTATCATTATGAGGAAATAATATGGTATCATTATGTTAAAAAAGATTATCATGATGAAATGATTTTAAAGCAAAATGAACTGGACAATCACATCATATCAATATTCTTTATAAGGGACTTTGGCTGAATGTCAAGCTGACTCGTGAGTCGAATCAAACTCAGCTCGATAAATGGCTCATGGCCTGAGCACAATGAGCTAATGAATTAAGCTTGAGCTAGTCTCGACTCGACTCATTGGCTCGTGAAACGGTTTGTTTAAAAAATATTTATATAAAATGATTTTAAAATATATTTGAATTTAAAAGTTCAAGTACAAAGCTATTAAAAAAATTTAAAATTTATATCTTACTTTATTATATCAAATAATTATTTATCATTTATCTTCTAATTTCTTATTTTTTTTATAATTTTATTATAAAATTATTTGAATCATAATCATTTCCTCTCTTTAGTTATAAACAAATCGGCTTGAATGTATAAATTAGCAAGAGCTCGGGCTCAAACTCAATTGATTATTCAAGCTCAAGCTAGGAGTAACTTGAGCTCGGCTCTACTCATTTACACTCGTATAAGGGACTCAATCATTATAAAAATATTCATAGAAACAATTGCATCCATACTAGCATGTGTCGAAGTTTATTTTGTTTGTAATCTATGAAATGCCTATTGATTTTGTTTGTAATATGATTTATAAATAACTTCATCTAGCATAATAGGTAATATTACAACCAATCATCATATGACATTTTCTTAGTGTTAGCACTTAGTATAATTCATGTTGTTTCAATTATACAATCACTTGAATCAATAAATCTTTAGCATCTAAATTATATCTTCAAATTATTGCATAGTTAGTTGCTTATGA